CTCACAGCCCGAGGCTGGACAGCTCCTTCTCCTCTCCAGCATGGGGACAATGGCCCAAAATGGAACAGAAACATCATCAATTACAGAAATCTGTGTCAGCACAGACTCTTAACCCCACTTACTCCCACAGATTTACACTGCCTTGCCTTCCTCTTACATTGGAGATGGACTCAAGGTTTGGATGGTGGTGAATGAACAAAGAGATTCATGGAATACTTTAAGTAATGGGTTCTTCACTTGTACTCATTTTCAGCTTCCATTCCTGCAGACTGTTTGCTGGCAATCCATCTGAATCACTTTCTGATTCTTTATCTGGAAATCACACTGCCTGAGCATTTGATTGTCCTTTTTATCAAGTACTTTTTCGAGAGAGGGGCTCACAAGTCTTACATTAGGATCTTTATAACTAACTGTTCAAGAGTAATACATTTAAAATGCAAGCCAAATGTCCCAGGCCTCCTTGTCCTTACTGCACAACACTTCCACAAATGTTATTGTTCCTCTCACACATCTGGCACACCAGTTATTACTTGATGGAGCAAACTTGTGTCTTGATTGCAATTCATCCACCTCATTTTTTGAATCAGCCAAGCATATAGAAAACCTTCCCACACCAAAGAAACAGGCCCTTAAGATCTTAAAACATTTGAAATTCTTGCATGAAATTTAGCACTGAAACACAAAGTATCTGTAATGAAATGTGTTAGGAGATGCTGAATACAGTTGCTTTAAAAGCAACTCTGCCACATTACTCATTAAAAAATCAAGGATATTCCACAACAAGAACAACTGTCACTCTGAATTCAAAACCAAACTGATTGCCTAAAATTTGAAAGCCTGTAATAAAACATACCTATAGCTGCCATAACACTGATGTGCTGTAAATCCACCCAGTTTTGGGAAGAGCAATGCACACTTACCAGACAGACATCAAGGCAATTGCCCATGATACAATGTTAAAAAAAAAAAATAGCTTGTACGTTTTGCAGTAGCATCAAGTCTCTATTCAAGTGTAAAAAAATTAATTGACTCCATCTGTATTGGCCTAATGACTGATTAAATGACTAATCACGGAAGTCTTAATTAAAATCATTTTTCTGTACAGAAGAGGATGGAGGGAGGAAGGCAATCATTAATGTGTTCTAATGTATGTCAGATTCCATTTGTGCCTTTTCCTAACAGCCACCAAATGAGTAATTACACACAAGGTCATTCTGTAAACTTTGTGCTCACATGCACTGATTGGATCTGGGTTCTGCACAGGGCTGCTGCTTCCCCATCACAGAGCAGGTAATTAATAGTGCTCAGCATAAATAATAAAGGAAGCTGACATTTCCTCTTCCATCACCAGACAGCCCAGATTCACACACAACTTCCATCCACTGCTGGTGAAGTCCCACACCTCACACACTCAATATTCTCCATCCATTGACAGGCATCCCCATCACACTGGGAAATTCCAGGAATTTTTCCTGCGTGAATAAAGTGACCAGGCAATTAAAAGAATCCTTTTCAAGTAAAGCAGGATGGCAGTAGGAAACTTATTTTAAGTTTTATTCGCCAGCCACCTGACAACCTGATACATAGTGAACTTTGCTATGGAAAAATAACAACCTGCTCCACCTCAACAGCTGAGAAGAATCTATTTAAAACAATGTATTAAAATGTGTTATGGAATTAAAAAGTGCATCTTGAGACTGGATAAACCAGCTTTCCACTGGCATGTAACCCTTACACAGCACCTACACTTTTTTATTTATTAAACATTGCATATAAAATATTAAAGTCCAAAGTACAAATTGCAATGTAAAATATTTTTTTGGCTGAATGCTGTCCTGAAATTCTGGAAATTGTTATTTGCAGCCACAGCAAATCTTCATGCCAGCAGCTGCAACAATTTTCCATATCCCAGATGACAATACATTATCATGTATAAAATAAGGGGTTTTATAAAATTAAAATAAAATGTTTTAATGGGGAAAATAAGAAGTTTTTACAGCCCTGTTACTTTTATCAACAAATGTCCAATTCTACAACTTTACTTTCCTTCAAAATCCTGATTTAAACCTGCAGCACTGGTGTGAGCTGCAGGTGCAGAATCAAGGCCAAGTAAGTTCCACTTCTTCTAAAATAACTGAACCAACATTTAGTACTGGCTAAGTTTTTTCATTTACTGTTTTTCCTAACCAGAAGTATCCTGACCCAAAATCCTGATGAGGAAGATCTCTGCAGAGTCCCCAGAAATGAACATCCTCCTGTGAACAGACAGTTCAGAGTGCCCAGCTGACTAAAAATAGGGCTCAGAATATGGAGGGAGAAGATAAAGGGACAAAAAATATGAGAAGAATTTTAAATCATTACATGACTCTATATTGTCCAATTACACTTCTAGCATGATTAAGCACTACCCTGTCTAAACCATTCAAAATCGTTGAAGTCACAGAACAATGTAAGTAAAGCTACACCAAGCAGCTTCATCCAGATTTCAAGAAAATACAATTTTCAATGCTCTGAATTAATTATAACACAATCTTGACCCTACTTACCACATAACAGAAGAAAACAAAAATATGTGACAACAACTCTCTGCTTGCAATAACTGTCAGTGTCACATATGAAAGAAGTTCATTTTACTAATAAAGGAAATAGAATTGAGTGATAGATTTAAAATTAAATTCAGCTATTCTATAAATGTCAATCAGAATTTTAAAGTGGCTCTCAAGGCTTGAAACCAGTATTGAGACTCAAACCTGCCACTCTCTGGGCTTGTAGGGAATTAATAAAGCTCAGTTTCATCTTCCTTTGAAGACACATATATTTAAAACAACCACAAAATCCATCACCACCACACCAGAACACTCCAAAATAAACAACATACAGATGGCACAGTAAATCTTTCAAAACCTGAAGGTATTTTTATGGAATAATTCAACACAATCTGCACTGCTCTGCTAATGCAAATGCAAACTTGCACAACTACCTAAATTACAGGGTGGTGTGCCATTCTTAATCTTCTCAGAAATGTAGGAGTTCCTGTTTCAATCATTTCTATTGTTTGAAATACACCTGGTGATAATGGAGCGGCTGCCACTGCAGGCAGAGAGCGACTTCTGGGTGAAGCTAATTAATAACTCAGTTCTTGCTGCTGGATGGGAGTGATCAGCAGTCAGAGGGGAGGACGGAGGTGGGAAAGAGCTGAGAGGAGCCTCAGTGCCCTGTCCGAAATTCAGCACTGGGCTTTGTCTGAGTACATTGATTATTTAGCTTACTCCTGGTCTTTAATGGGGTAAAATATTTAAAAGTAAAGCATTTCAAGTGTTCCATTTCAGGGGCCTCTCAGGTAGATCCCCTCAGCACTCAAGGACAGACCCTTCCCACCACAGTGTGACAATCACAGGCCATCCAAGCTGGGTGAAAAACTTTGTACTTCTATAAGTTTTGGAAAGTACTAAGAAATCTTATGCTCAAAGACAGACCACAGAGGAGGATGGTGTCTTGTGAAGGCACCTCCAGCTATTCTAGATCCATGAATGTGGGAATTTGCAACTCTTTAGGCCATGTAATTGTATAAAGCAAATAGGTTCAGACTAAAGGGTTTGAATGCATCCAAGTGATGCCATTTAAGGAAAAAAATCCCCAACACTCTATACTCAATTTCCTGGTCACAAGGCAAAAATGAGGGACACAGCTGCTGCATGTGGTAAATTGAGCTTTTTTGAGTGTGCTCTAAATGGTTCATGGAATCATGGAATCCCAGAATGGTTTGGGTTGGAAGCCTGGAAAGTTCATCCAGTTCCATCCCCTGCCATCAGCAGGGATTCCTTCCACTATTCCAGATTCCACACCTTGATTTCTCTGATTTGCCAGTGAACATTGTCCCTTCTCTTGTGACCTAAACATGACTTCTCATACTGGTTAAAGGTGAGAAAACATCTTGGGCCCAGCCTGATCAAGCACTGGGACCATTGTCTGCTCATGGCAGCCAGTCCTGTTAGCATTGTTTGATGCTTTGCTGTTGGCTGAACTAGTGGCAAAAGTGAAGAATGCCATCAGGGCAGATCTGCTCAAGTATTTTGAGAGCCTGTAACTTATTCTACAGCAGAGAAATTAAAGCAAACACTGAAGAATTTACCAGTAGCAGGCTGGAGTAAAAGTCACTTTTATCACAACCCAAATAATGGGGAAGTTAAACAATACCTTTCTCTGAACTGCTGCAACTTCCATCCATGTCAGAGGATTTCTATCTCCCTGCTCATTTTTTCAGCTAAGAAATGCAAATGAGCTCTGCCCTATTCTTCTGTTTGTTTTGTACAGTGAGCACAATTTCTGCCTGAACGTCCAACTGTATTTCCATCCTCTTTGTGTCACACAAACCTCATTTACCAGTCATTCTTCTGCACATGAAGAGATCTATAATGAGGAGTCTTTCTGTCATTGCCCTGCTCCTCTGAGTCAGGAATTTTCATTTCCCCCTAATACTTGCTGCTGTAGCTGCAATTTCATTTACTATCATACCACAGCCTTAATGTGAGCACATCTGTGGCTGGAGCATGGAAAAGATTCAGGATTTCTCTCGGAGCTATCGATTAAATGGTTACAAGAAACCAGAGGGTTTATTTACCATGCTCCCACGCGGTTCTTATAAAAAGGAAGGTTTATTCACTGTACTTGAAATGACAGTTTATTCTTCCAGTTACTTAATTCTCCCCTATCAAGCAGAAAAATGTTACACTATTATTGTTTTCAACCAGCAAAATGCACTGAAAATCTACAGCTCAGATTAACTTCTGATCCATTAAAGCCACAAAGGCTCATTATAAACTTTCCACCCCGAATTCCATCCTAAATTGTCAATAAAGTCAGACTAGTGGGTTGGGATGGTGATTTGATTTGCCTTTTTTTTTTTTTTTTTTTTTTTTCCTGGAGAGCAGGGATTTTCAGTGTTCAAATATACAAGAAAAACACTTAAAACCCCCACCCAAGCACCAAAAACCCCAAGACCAAAACGTCTCTAAAGTGAAGGACTGAAAAGTGTTATTGCAAGCACAAGCTCAGGCTCTAAGGAAGTAAGAGCAGTAAAATATGGAGGGCAGTGTGACCCTACAGTGCCCAGGTAACCAAAACTTTGACCAGGGGACAGCAGCAGGAGGGAGGTGCCTTGCAGGGGGATAAATGTGCTTTGGGCAGGCAGCAGCCTCCAGCTGAGCAGCAGCAATCCTGGTTCACACATACCTGCTGCCTTCCCTCTTCTCCTGCGAGACTGTCATCTTCTCAGCTTTCTCAGCAGATATCCTGCCACTTGGCTTTTTGCCTCCTTTCTGCAGAGAAAAAAAAAAAAAAAAGTATTTCTGTAGTGCTTTGGGGAAGTGCCAAAAATGGTGTAATTTATGATGTGCTAGTGTTTTCCTTTGCATTCTTAAGTTAAGAACAAATGCAAAATCATCAGCACTTGACTATGGTGGATTTTGATTTACATACATTAAGATTCTCTTGTGATTTCCTATTATTTATTTCTGTAAACAAAACTGGATCCTGGTCGCTAAACTATCAGCATCCTCTGCAGTGTGAAGACAAAAGCCAGAATGTACAACTCAACAGTCAAAAGAATTTGAAACAAGAAGTTGGAGCATTTTATCTGATCTGAGACTCTCATCTGCTCTTTCTTTTTGGAACCTTCTTACTGGAAGTGAAGTAAATAGTTCTCTATAAATGGTAAATAGTTATCTATACCTGAACTTTGGGAATTGGCACATATTTCTTTCTCAGTTTGAGTAATAGTGTCTAGGCTTTTCCCCTAGAATTTTCCCAATACATCTTCAGTTATTTTCTGAACAAGTTATTTTCTGGACTATTTCCTGGAACTAAATGCATACACCATAGCTTTGCTCATTTTAGTGTATTGTATCCATGCAAACACAGTATTTTGCACTAAGGTTGGCACAGACAGAAGCTTAACAGCTTTTACTTTTCTTCCTTTCCTAAAATCTCTTCAGGATCCCACTGTAAGAAGTATTGCAAAGCCTGAGGAATTCTGTTGGCAGAATTACACAAAATTGGAGGTTTTTTTCCCCCTTTCCACTCAGGTATAACAAAACTGATTCCACCTTGCATGGCTTTTGTCACAACCAACACAGTGAACAATCATGGAACACTGTGATCCCTCATGATTTTATACCAATACACCCTGCAGGAACCAAAATTTCCCTGTTAATTAACTTCTACTCCCTGTGAGAGCTGCAGAGATGCTGCTTTGGTCACGTCCTTAATGGGTGAGAACTTGCAGAAGCATTTCACAACACAAACCAGAAGCCAGGAGAATGTTTGATGGGTCATCCCCCATCCTGACAGGAATGTCTGGTGTTGGAAAGCTGTTGTTTAATATGAATCATTAATAGCACTGCTTGCCTCAAATTTTGTGGGGTGAAATGGAGAGAAGATCATGTTCTACTGCAATGCTTTATCTGAGCTAGAAGACCTTAAATAAGAACTTTGCAGTTGGCAGTGCTGCAGTTCCCTCCACAGCACCATAACTTTATCATTATATGGTGTGATAAAAGTTAAGTCTTTGCCTCTGCAAGGACATTAAATAACATCTTTCTCCCCATTAGCTTTTGCTGTAGTAGCAGTATTTATTCTCTGGGCAATGAGTGAGAACCACATTCCTTACAGAATAACTCCGGGTTCTTAATGCACTAACAGTTTCAGAAAGGTTCCTGTGACACTAAATTTAATGTATTTTTAATATTATTATATTATTAATTGATAGCTCTTGTTCCACACACTTTAAAAGGAAATGTTTAAGAGCCTTTTAAACATCAGTGAAGTCCTACATGTGGATAATCAATTTATTAAAAAAAAAATTCTTCATGCCAATCTTTAGCTGAAATAATCTCAAAATAGGCAGCTGTTCAAAGAAAGGTGTTTAGGATCAATTGTTTCAAGGTCCTGGCAGGATTTCCCATCAGTCCTCTCAAACCTTACACACCTCTAGAGACAGTTCTGTGGTCCCATATTACATAGCACAGGACTTTCAAATGAAAGTGCCTTATGCTGAGCATTAAAATAAATTCCTGTTTCACATGCTTTCAAGTGGAGCTAAAGCATCCAAATCAGAAAATCATTCCTTAAATATCCCCCTCATGTTAATTTAAACTACAACCATTATTACTACCAGCAAGACAAGGCTCATGTGCCACCTTTGAGGGCTAAGTGCCAGCAGAATGACTCCTTCCATAACAACCCTTCAAGATAGGGCAGCCTGACCTCTCTGGGAGTGAAATATCAATTAATTATCTTTTTACAGCCAATTCAATTACAGCACACTAATCACTTGTGTAGGACATCAAGCCAGAAGTTGAGGGTGGGTGAGTGGGTGGGGAGAGGAAGGAAAAAACATAGGCAGGGAAGGACCTTGAGTGAGGCTGACGGGGCAGTAACCCCACAGATGCAGCTGGAATGTTTGTTAACATCCCACAAGGAGTTATTATCTGTTTGTAGCAGAATAAATGATGCAAAATCATCCTCATTTAACTGAAGGTTTTTAAAAAGAAAGAGTTATTTGTCCTAGGGGTAATAGACATTTAATTTAAAGGTGACCAGACACACTGCATTAGTCTTTAATGCAGGAGTCAATTCACCAAAGAGCTTTGTTCATTCAGGGGAAAAAAAAAGAAGATAAAAGATGATCTATTCAGCAGAAAGCAAAATATATTTAATTTTTGTTAAATGAACTAGTATTAACTCAAGTTACCAAGGCTATTTCACTACTGTACTGATGCCAAAGAAAATTATCAAGTGTGATGTATCCACAGTAATGCACTCAGCAGAAGTGCAGTATAGAAGCAAACATGTTTTAATTTATGACCCCATTAGCATTGCTACAGAGGCCAAACTTCTGAGAGCATGAATAAACATGTTAGGATATGCAAACAACCCCAAAACCTGACTCTATTTCATTGATGGCATTGGCAAAATAAAACAGGGAGGTGGGTGTCCATCCCTTCTGCCAGGTAACAAGGGACAGGACAAGATGAAATGGCCTCAAGTTGCACCAGGGGAGGTTTAGAAGAATTAGGAGAAGTTTCCTGGGGCTGACCAGGCAGCTGGATGGAGTTCCCATCCCTCAAAATGGTCAGAACACTGTGGGAGGTGAGGCCACGCTTTGGTGGTGAGCGCAGTGGTGATGCTGGGTTCATTGCTGGTCTCCATCTTTCCCAGCCTCAACAATTCTGTGATCCTGTGATTTCATCATGATTGTTCACTGCCTTTACATTTTTTAACATAATCCGTAAAAACTAAAATTGAATTTGAGATGTTTTAATTGACAAAAATATTGTATCACAGCAAAGAATATAAGAATCTTCTATTTTTGACCCTAATTTTTCTTTTTTCTCTGTATAGTAACTTCAGCTCACTAAAGATATTTTTTGTGAGAATGACTCTCATCCATATTAAAGCATTCTGTGGAAACAAAGACTTCACTCAGGGGGAGGGTTCATCAAACTCACTAAAATTATAATCATTTGATAAAAGTAATGACTAGTCTGTATTTGAAATATTTTCCCAGGCAGCACTTTAGCATATTGTGTATTCCAAACAAAGTGCTGTTGCATAATCATTAACTCTGCACCATGGAGATCTTATGAAGAAAATAATGAAGATTTTAGAGAAGTAACGAATATTAAGTTTTCTTATGGATAGAAAACACACCCAAGCGCCCACAAAAAATATAGGAGAGATTTTTGCTGGAGTTCAGAGTAGCCACAAGGGTTTGAGATGTTTAAAGGAAAAGCAATATGTTATTTTATCCTGAGAAAAGCAGGGCTAGAAGGAAGCAATATGTCCAGCATCACTCAGAGGATCTGGGCTCAGAGCACAAACCCTCTCTTTGCCTGCCATTCCCATGTCACATCCAGTGTATTATGATGTTACACCAAGCAGCCTGCAAGAACCACCCCAGAAAAATTCCTGCAAACATCCAAACCCCCAGGGAAATGTTAAATACGACACAATGGCTGTTGAACCTGAGAGTCTGCCCTGTGCAGAGTGGTTTCAAACTGCCAAGTATGGAAAACTCTCAGCAATTAGAGGAAAAAATGTCTCCAACTCCTTTCTTTATGGTCAATATAATGTAAGGCTATCTTCAAATGCCAGATTTATTTTTTTAAAGTGTTCTCCAATCCAGTTTGAAAAGAATTGTTTGAGACATACAGGCTGCAGCCAGCAGACAACAACAGTCCTGCAATTACCAGCACCTGCATTCCAATTCAGTGGATTGACATTCCCGAGGGGCCGTGGCAGATTCCCTACTGACAACAATTAGCATCAAAATGTTCCCCAGTGTAAAGCTGTGGGTGGGAATTACAAAAGGTTAACAGACTAAATATAAAAATCTTTTTGAATATAAAATCAATGCGCTTTGTTACCAAAATCTGGGTACTGTAATTTAACCAAAATAGGGATTAGAGTCTCTGGCAATCTTCCATGTGTGTGAGCTTGGCTTTTCTTTAAGCAAAATGCTAAGCAGCCAATCTGAAAGTTTAAAACAAAACAAATCCAAGAGCCAAAGGAAAGCATTCTATAGGTTTTTGGGGTTTTTTTTTTTCATTTTCCTTAGCACCACTCCTCAAGGTTCACAATGATTCTCTTACATAGTCAGACTCAAAATCCAAAACTATTTTAATGTATGATTTAGAGAGGGATATATGTCAAAGTTGTTGGGGAAAAAAAAAAAAGTGGTCAAAATCAGACAGAAGTTTCCTTACTCAAATGAGTTCTAATAACACAGTTTCCTCCAAAGGTCATCACTACATGACTATATGCATATTTTCAGAAGTGGCTTCTAATTCTCTGTAGTTACCAGGGGCAATGAAAAAAACTTATATGTTTTTATAATGCTTGGAGCCACAGCTTTGCTTTATTTAGACTCATGTTACAAGCAGAACAGATGAAAAAAAGATTGGTCATCAAAACATTGAATTTGATGAAAATATAGAATTGTAACAGACATCTACAAGAAGGATGTTCACTAAAAATGATAAATTTAAATTTATCTAGGTTGTCCTTTGTGTTTTTGATTGAGAGGATAAGTGGCCGTGCAGGAACTTTGGATCTAGATAAACTCAAAGTACGAGCTTTTACATGAAAGCTTAATTCCTGTTACCGACCAAGAAATCATCTTTTATAAAAAATAGTTAACAAGTCTCAGAATAACAACGTGGGGAATTTCTCCTGGGCTGTGGAGGCTGCAGTAAAGCTGAGCAGGTACAAGATTTTACAGTAAGAGTCTGACTCCAAATTGATGCCTCATTACATGAGT